AATTGTAGATTATCTTTGATGATATACAAAAAATAAACAAGACATGTTTCTTTGCATTTAATCAAGAAAAATTATTATATAGAGGTAAATCAAATGACTGTTCCGTCGGATACATTTCATTGAGTTAAGAGAAAAAAATACTCATGAATGTGTTCCATACTCAATTATTATTGGGATCATTGCTTTGTGGAAATCTTTTAATTTCTATGTGCTTTTACTTATTTATGTTTATCTATTGACTAAAAATCTATGTGAATCATATTTAGCTAGTAGTAATCCACAAACTATTAGTCTTCGATTATCTTTAAATAATCCTATGATGCTCGAAGTGATAGCTGATCTTTTACATCAAAGGATTGTATCGAATCAGTTTAGTACTCCATCGACTGCTGATTTCGCTAGAATGCATAGTTGAGTGCAAATGCCAACAGCTTTATCGACTGACACTGCACTTACTAATCCTTCAACTATTTGTCTTATCAATGATATTAGTGGAACATTTGCATGAGTATCTATGTGTGAGTATTTTCAAACATCTATTAATCATGTTTTTAATAGGTAAAAACAAGGGTGTGAATGTGAGTGTGGACGTAAGAATGTGGTGTGTACCAAGGGTATTCTCTTAGCACTTACATCGACACACACCTATACCTTCAAGTTTACTATATTTCTGAAAATTTTTTTTACTAAAGTTTGATATAACTATGTCTAACTATTGTTATTCTTCTAGATCCAAAAAACAAGAAGTTCTTATTATGAACTGAAGTGTTTCCTTTCATTCATAAGACGAAACAAATAGAATAAGCTACACTCATTTCTAGTACAGTGGATTAATACGACTGCTCGGAAAGCAGGGGATACATGGTTCGATTCCACGCGAAGAGAGATTATTCTTTTGTTTCGTTCTGTAATACCATCACGTTGCTGTCTCGGTGATATCAGAGTATAATATGAGAAAACGAGCAATAAAGAAAAGAAATAAGATATAACAGTTCTACAAGGTTTTTATTCGGGAAGATCGTTTTGAAAAAGTCACTGTACGAATTAACGAAGAACAATCTACAAAATATTTTAAAAAAGACTAATAAAGATGGTAAATGTGTGGAACATTTTTTTTCTCTAAGATAGTTTCATCGAAAGATGTTCAATACCGATAAATTCTAGTCAATATGCGATTGAAAGAGCTAGGAAACAATATAATTATGCAATTTCACTTTGTTGATGAATGATCTGGAGAACAAGATCACTGATTTGTTTGTTGGATTTCGTGATCGATATTCTCTTTGAACATTCTTTCAATAATTCTAATTTTTGAACTATTTGATAACATATGTATTTCTTATTCATTAAAAATTCGAAAGTAACTTTTTTAATGAAAAATATTTCGTTTAATCAAATAAAATACAAATGTTTAAATTCTTACTATTGATTATTGAAATAGAGATATGACCTTTTGCTGTTGAATTGTTTTCCTACAGTGTTTCGGAACATGCTCGATGAAAAATAAAATGAATGTTGCTTGACGCCATCTATTTAAAAATTTCTAATTGATTGCTCATTTTACAGCCTACGAAAAAGAAAACAGTGATATGTATTATACTGACTTGTTCTATTTTGAGACCATATGAAAAAAATTAATTATTAAAAGAAATGCAACCAGCCATTAAAATTAGTGCTCGCTGTGTATTTTCATCAATCTTATCAAGTCGTCGATTTGTAGCTGTTGAAGTTTGTAATTTATTTTAATTTTGATTGTAATCTTAATTTTTTATAATTATATATAGGCGGATAAACCATGGAGAACAGCTTATGGTGGTAAATATACAGTGACATTAATACATGGGGATGGAGTTGGACCAGAACTAATGAAACATGTTAAAGCTGCTATTCGGTTAGAAATTTCATTTTGTTCTTATTTTATTCTTGATTGAAGAATAAATTAGATGTGTTCGAGCACCAATTGATTTCGAAGATATTCCTTTATCAAGTCATGTAGCTAGTGATGCAATGTTTGAACGTGCAGTAACAGCAGTTAAACGTAATGGAATAGCTCTGAAAGGTATTCCCTTCTCTCTCTCATAAAATCAATCAATTTAAATAAGTTTCTTTAATTATTATAATTTAGGAAATATCGCATCACAAAATACATCTCAATCATTAAATGTTCTTCTCCGGTAAAATTCTGAGTGATATTTTTTTTTTCTAAATTAAATATAATCTAAAAAATGGAATTATTTTAATTTTATCAGTACTCGTCTTGATCTCTATGCCAATGTAATACGTTGTAAAACAAATCCTGTTATTCGTACACGTCATTCAGACATTGATATTCTTGTTATTCGTGAAAATACCGAAGGAGAATATAGTTCACTTGAACATGAAGTATAAAATATTTTTGATATGTTGAAATTTTATTGAAATTTTTCTCTTTAGTCTGTTCCCGGTGTTGTTGAAAGTCTTAAAAGTATGAAATAAATCTTTAATTAAATATCAAAAAACAAAAATATATCTTGTTTTTTTGTAGTTATAACACGAGCAAAATCAGTTAAAATCGCTCGTTTTGCTTTTGAAATAGCGAAGAATGAGGAAAGAAAAAAAGTGACTGCTGTTCATAAAGCAAATATCATGTATTCAAAACAAAAAAACAAAGAATTCTAAACTTGAATTAATACGTTTTTTTTCTTTCGTAAACAGGAAATTAAGCGATGGTTTATTTATTGATTGTTGTCGTGAAATTTCTAAGGAATATCCTAATATTAAATTTGATACAATGATTGTTGATAATACTTGTATGCAATTAGTTAATCGTCCAAGTCAATTTGATGTTATGGTTATGCCTAATTTATATGGAAATATAATATCAAATATATGTGCAGGTCTCGTTGGTGGATCAGGTTTTGTTGCTGGATCAAATTATGGAGATCATTATGCTATATTTGAACAAGGAACAAGAAATACGGGAATTGGTATCGCCGGAAAAAATATAGCCAATCCTTCGGGAATTCTTTTTGCTGCTGCAAATATGCTGAAATATTTAGGGTAATTTTTATGCAAGACTTTTTGATGATTTTAAATGAATATATTTTGTTTTTCCTATCTAGATTGGATCAACATTGTTCAGTAATTAAAAACGCAGTACTGAATACAATACAAGAACGTAAATTAAAAACTCTAGATATTGGTGGTACAGCAACAACAACAGAATTTATTCAATGTGTTTTAGAGGAGATTATTCACATGACACCACAAATTGGTTTTGATTATAAAATGCAACAATCTAAATCATATTTTTAAATATTAAATTAGTTATTTTTTATTTTAACAATTTAGAATTTATTTTTTATTTAATTAAATAATACACCTAATAACCAAGCAAAGTAATCTCAACTATATACATATTTTTTTCTGTAGTTTCGTTTTTGTATATTATTCGAGGATCAATTACTAATAAAATTCTAGTTTTTATAAAGAAGATATTATATAATAATTCAATTTCGATTAAACAATAGATCGAAAATTGTTTTCATCGTCGCTAATGAATAGAATTTGCACATCTATATTCTTTCATATGAATTCACTGCAGTATTCAATTCGATTTTGAAATTTTGAAATAATGACAATAAACTAAAATATAAGTAATATTAAAATAATATGAAATTTTTTTCTGTCAATCTCACATTTTCCTAGAGGTCATATTAGATATTAGTTGGATGTGCCTGTTTTCTTGTTGATCAAAAACTAATAGAAGTCTAATACCAATATTAAAATAATTTTCTGCTGTTGTTTACAAGTTTTAAATAACTTTCTGATACGATACGACTAATGTAGTCGTTAATATACTGTATGTAGAATGCTTAAAAGGATATGAATAAAATCACTTGTTTTAGTTTCAAAACTGAGACTGAGATGAGTTTCTTCATGTCTAAGCCAAGATTATAGAAATTTCGATCGAAGAAACTATCAGACTAGACCCAAATTTATCTAATTAAATCATCGTAAAGAGTTTTATTTCTATGAATAAATGTCACAGTCCATAGCGCTTAGTAGTATGCATTTACGTTGATAACAGAGACGAGGAACTCATTAAGATAATTTATAATAAAAGAACGACAAAAGTATATTGGAATGACATAATGATTGAGCGAATAGCTATTATATTTTTTCAAATTGTATTGTCTATTGTTTCTAATATAAATGAAATACTCGTCCCGATATTAACTCTGGTTCATAAGTTTCGAACGAGTCTTCTATAATACACGTTATCTTCAATGTTATTATAATGATCATCATCTGATTTAAAAATAATTATTATCTTATCGTTAAACACAGACTTCTATGTTTATCATAATTTTTCTAGAGTCTATTTTCGATATAACATAATAACAAAAGTGCGAAACAAGTGTGCTACCACATGCACTCTGATCTTATAACAAGACAAACATCTATTATATGTAGATACAGTAATGATATTGAGAAAAATTGTTTTTGTCTTACAAAAACTTGTTTATGAAACGACTCATACATATTGTAACTAATGGTTTTAAAAAATGAAAAAGTCGTTCATGCAGAACGGAACATAAATCATTTATGTTATTCAATGAGTAATAACAATTAATATTTTTTTCAAAATTCTGACTACCTATTGATATTATAAATGAATATGATTATCAAAAGAAAAATTTGTCATTCTTAGTTAAAAATCAAATATTCAAGTGAATATGAAAAAAAAACCAAACACAGAAGTATTTCAATTTTATTGTTTATTTTCACGCATGAGAAAAATAAAATGGAAGCATATGACGCCAATAAAAAGTAATGACATTGAAATCACGATACACATTTACATGTACACACCTTGCTCCACCAATCAAGCTAATTTCAACGCTTTCCATATCACATTATTTTTCACTTCTATAAAATAACAGACACGAGTTTTTTTTTCGAGACTGTTTTGTTGTATAAGGTAACAGTTAAATTTATGTAAGTTTTTATAATAAATGAAATAGAATTAGACAAACTTTATGTTCTAATTTTTTTTTATGAATAAGAAATAGTGCTATTTTTCAATAAAGAATTGGTAGGTATTAATAGAAGCGAGTTATAGACGCGAAAAGATACTAATAACAAAATAATTAACCAGATGATACAGTACACAAGTTTATTATTCATTGTAGTATGTTTTTTTCTTCATGCATTGCTACGTCAATATATCATTCGAAGAGAAAAAAAGTGTTACATTATCTAAAGAGCTGCTTGATCAAGGTTGTTTCACATAAAAAAAAAATCGTAACCGATATATGTATATAACATAATGAATATTTATATGAAATTTATTGATGATGTTTTTCTTTATTTTCCTCTCATATAATCTTTTTAGATCGAAAATTCAGTCATTGTGATTACTGGACATTCACGATGAAAATATATCGATCCAGCTTACAGTAAATTTTAATTTTTTTTCATTATTTATTAATTTTTTTTTTTTTTTTGTGGAACTCACATTATGTTTTCCAAAGAAAAAGGTTTTGTGGATCTCTCCTCATAGCAACGCGAAGATCGGGAGCGCACGAGAAAGACCAATAACCATTGGCTTCGTTGTCATAGCAACAAAAGATAATAGGCGTCAGACTTCGTTCCTAGAGTTTCTTAGCAACGAAGAAAGATACTTAACGGGGTAATGATGTATTGATTTGCCACAGTCATCATATAATCAAGTTGTAACTTTTGAGAAATAATCAATATCAATGTTTGTAAGCATATCGAGATTATATGATAGTACATTGAGATCTGCTCTAGATAAATTGGATATATGTAACAGGTTTATTTGCCATTGTTTAGAATAATTATAATTATATTAAATCAAGAAAAACAACGTGCGAATAACAGTAAGAAAAGCAAAAAGTAGAACATCAGAAAAAATAAATTTCTGTTCAAAATGCTGAAACAAATAAGACAGACCATTTTCAAGACGATCAATTATCTTTAGAAAACTACTACAGCCTACTAGAAACTTTTCACTTCAGATATTGTCTATTAGTATAATGAGACTAAAGAACATATGTGAGTTTCACGTTTTAGCTTCAATGAGGTTATGTTAATTATATAGTTCTTGTTAATATTTTTAATTTTTAATAGTCGATATAATCATCGACAACGGAGAATGTTTCTAATAGTTTTTGTCACCATATTTAATTTTGGTGTTGGATTATATTTAACATTTTCTCTTACTCAAATTGGTGAAAAAGAATTTACAACAAAACCGGTTGTTAGTCAATCAAAGGAGTAAAACAATTTTATTTTATTTTTGTTTTCTATTTTAATTATAAATAAATCAATAGAATGAAAAAAATGCAAACGCTAATACCAAAAACATCAACAATTTCAAGACAAAGATCAATAAAACAAAATTATCAAAATTATTTTAGAATTGATTATACAATTCATGAATCTGTATGTAAACCAAATCATATGTTTAATACAAGTAGAACAATTGAATCTCTGGAATACTTAGTAAAGAAAAATATCAACTAAAAATTCATCAGTTTTGTTTCTTAATATTTTTTTTTCTCGTTTAGACAAATTTAAAACTTAATACGATTACTCGAAATATAACTATAGATATTGATATTATTTCAATTAATGTAATAATTAGAAAAATTGATAAAATCAACGAAAAGTATGTCTATAGAAAATTTCGATTTTCACTATTTTAGATAAAAATAAATAAATTTCAGTTACAAAATTCTTATCATAGAACCTTTTTTAACGATGTTTTCTTGACGAATATGGAATCAATAAAATCAATGACGAATATATATATTTCAAAAGTTAGAGAAATACATTTAACATCATTCTAATCAATTTAAATAACAAAATTTCAAATGTGTTCTTTAGATCGAAGATATGTTAATATCCCCTCACATAAGGGAACGATCTGCTGGACGTAATAGAAGATTCCATTTAATTAACTAGTTCTAGCAAAATTTAAGCTTTAATAGGAATATTTACCTGAAAATATACCTAGTTTGCAGGATTTTGAGATGAAAGTCTTAAAAAACTGACGTCAACATTATTTCTAAGTTTTTAAATTTACAGTAAAAAAATTATGAAAATAAATAAGACATTCTAGAAATTCCCATCCTCCAACAAACTTTGAACACTTGAATCTAATAAAAGATCCGAGATCTTCTATTGCTGAGAAAGGTTTAGTTTAGTTATGAATATAATTTCGAAAATCTCCAAAAGATTTTTCTCATAATTCTCTTCACCTATACCGGTACAATATCAATCATAGTCATTCTCGATTAAAGTTTCACTGAATAGTTTCATTTTTTTGAGAACATTAAACTAAAATATACCTTTTAAAACTATTAAATATATTTTAGTTTGGATTAAAATGTTACTACAAAATTAAAAAGTAACTAACAAAGACATGTGTTTTTTTTTCTCTTATGTTAATCTTTCATATCCTATCATACTATGTAATTATTTTTTTAAATGTAAGCTAATACACATATAGACTATGATGACGATTGAATTATTTCGAAGACTTTTGTAAGAAAAAAAAAAGACAAATTAGAAAATGATTATGAACGGGATTTATTCTCTTAGCATTGATTGAAAGTTTTTTAGACAAGAAAAATTCGAGATGATTAATTAAGATTTCTAAAAAATTCAATGATATGAAACATTTTTTTATAAAATATCATATCTCAACATGAATAAGTAGACAATTAAAATTGAGTATCAATGAAGCGTAACTCTTTAAAGACTTTTCATTTTTTGTAAAAATAATATTTATTTTAGTTCTTCACATAAATCCAGAAAAACAGTTTGTAATTATGTTCTTCAATTATATATTGGTTTTGACTTTCCTTCATATTGTAATGATGTTTGTCAATCAGAAGAAATTCAACGGTTAACCTTCCGTTCTCGACCATTTGGTAATCCAGTCGATTCTTCATTTTCATTTACTTTATTTTCTTCAAAGTCATCTGGAGCAGGGACTAAATTTAAGATTCAACAAGTTTTAATTTGTAAGTTTTTCTTTAATTTAAATATATATCGCAATGAATACTTATCTTTCGGATATTTTATTTTCGAAATCGCTCTCATTCATTTTAGTTTTGATGAATAATTCTGTATTTTTTTTTATTTTCGGTACTTGTTTTTTTAAAGAATAATAAAAAAAACCTCAGAATTATTCAACAAAATGAAAACGAATCAAAACAATTTCAAAATTGAAACTTGTCAATGTGGTTTCATGAAAAACCAAAATGTAGAACTCACAAACTCTGGTTGTTATAAATTTATAGTATATTGTCAGAGGGATTAAAATAATTTATTCTAAGAAAAGTTCCAAATAAATGAATAAATCAAAATTATAATAACTTTTATAAGTTAATATGTGGGCTATGAAGCTTTAGTATTTCGAAGATGTTTGCATTTAGAATTCCTATTCTACCAATTTATTAGATTTATTTAACATCATTATACTGAAAAAACTTATTTATCAGATACGTCTCCAATACATAACTTCTTTTTTCGTAATAATACTATACACGATATATGCCTTAGGAGGTTGCAATGATCATTTTATTCTTCCTTTCATCGGTTCAACAACCATATTAGCCTACTATAGACATTGATTTAATCGTTTAATAAACTTCTGTGCACATCATTCTTTCTCTCGATAAATCTTGACATATACTGTTGAGTTTCGCCTAAACTTAGAATTCAATTAGTTCATACTTTGTTAACTGAATAATACCAATCAGGATCGTTATAACGATTATTTCGATACTAAAAATTAATCAATTATTTAATTTAGATCGAAGTTCAATTTATTTCAATAAAACAGTTCATATTCGTTCATTTAATGAAGTTCGTTATTTATCAGCATTAATACTTGACTCATCTGCTTCTCAAACATCAATAACAATGTCACAAATAGATCGAAGTTTATTTTTAATTACAAATGCTTTATATGAAAAATCATTTGAAAATGATTGTTCAACTATTTATATATCAATTTTAACAGCACCAGGACATAGTACATATTTACGTCATGAAAATGGACGAATTAAATTAGGAAAAAATGATCAATCAACTTTATTTGAACAAGATGCAACATTTAAATTAATAACAAGTAAAATAAATAAAGATATGGTAGTATTTCAATCAATAAATGTTCCTGACTCATATATAGCTATTGACACAGAAACAAAAGCAGCTTTGATGTTAACACATCTTGATACAAATTCACTCAATATTGATTCTTTAGAGAAACGATTTTTATTTAAATTAAATTTTAATGCATAGAAGCAATTTACTTTTAATTGTTTTTCTTGTCGAATGACGATTAAATAGAATAACCATTGGTTAGTTTATGAAAAACTATTAAAATATATTTTCATTCATATTGATTTTCAAGTTTGCCTAAAAGCAGATTGTTGTGACAGTTCTTTTTATATGATGATCAATGATTTATTTGCATGCTAAATTTACGATAGTATCATCTGCATCGTTGTCTTATTCACATAAACATTTTTCAATTTTTTTTTAATCGAACTTTTTGAAAATAAGCCTACTTCGTGAGGTGTTTACAGTAGGTGTTCAATGACCAAGTATGCATTCAAACCATCAATCGGAGATCTTCAGAATTACGGCAGGCTCAAATGTCTAGATATAATCATCCAGGAATAATGGGTATTTTACTTAAAACTCGAATTCGATTTTTCTGGCAATTTCTGTGGAAAAAAAGTTACTTTTTGATTAAAAACCTTTAGAAAACATATTAGAAAACCTATGATATACGACTTGATGTGTCTGTATCTTTTCTTTCCAACGGTAAAAATGGCAACTCCCTATCTCTTTTCTATCAAAGCTTATTTAAAAACAAATTCACGGGTCCTTTTTTAAATAGGCATCTCTGTTATCGTCATATATCATAACAAGCAGCTCTTGTCAACATTTTATTATTATGGTATCAATTGAAGAATGATGAAATTTTGCAGATATATAGACCACTCTGGTTATCATCGATGGATACGGAGAGAAAGTTTCCTCAAGCTTTCGATGTAGTATTGAAATGCCACCGCCACTACTTTTGGATTGCCCTAAATATTTATCTGATAAATTGTAATATCTCTTCATAAGATACTAAGTCATCTTTTTTTTTTTTACTGATTGACAAGAAAGGGAAAAAAATCATTTTTATATAAGTAGCAAAATGTCGTGTCAACCAAAAGACATAGTTCCAAAGTATAAAAAACGTATACATATAAATTATTAAAATGTATTTTATCGATATTGATCCCATTTTCAATTGATCACTATCTAAAGATGAACAGACATTAAAGATATATATAAAGAATAAAATATAATCTATCATCCAAAAGAAACCACACTCAACTATCGCTACGTAGTAAGAATATTCTCACTTGAGAAAAAGATATATTGAAAAGATTAAAAACAGTTTCTTTTTATCTTAAACATATTCAAAAAAAAAATCCAGTGGCTAAACAAAATTTAGCATTAAATTCAATAATACGAGAACAATAAAACAGATTTACAATGTGTTAGTGAATTAATGATTATTATTTTTCTCAAACTTTAATTAACAAATAGTAAAAAATTAAGTTGATAAATTTTATAAATATAATTACGAGCATAGTATTGTGTTGCTATCCAATGATAAATGTTCATGGAAAAAAAACTGAAAGCTATCTTATCCACGTAGAATGCGTTCTAAAACTCAAGAAAAACATTCTTTACAGTTTCACACACAATCATGAAATGTTTATTTCTCGAGTCAGAATCACTCTCATCTCCATAGAAGACCTTCTAAGCTGTTCTGTTAATTTTTGAAGTAGTTTCTTGTATGTTCTTTTTTTAGAAAGGTAAAGATAGGTTTCCATAAAAATCGCATTGCTTCCTTTGATGATTCCTAGATATATATTTAAGAATGGATTCTTCGAACTGATGAACATATTCCAAATGATCAACAACATTTTTAGAAAAAAAAACTGTCCTATTTTTGGTGCTTCAAATTGCCCGATTCTTTCTTGTAGATTAAGAAATAATTTTAGAAAAATAGAATAAGTTCTCGTTGATTTCAATATTTTGATTAGCTCAGATTACATGTTTCGGTTTTCTCAAATATATCCATTTTTTTTCCTCAATGTTTCTTCACTAAAAAATGATCATCATAATTCATATGAGCATCTATTTTCAATCCTGAGTTTTTAGCTATGGATACCTTAAGATAAACAATATTACTATAAAAAACGTTGTAATAATATATAAAAAACAGAAAATGAAATAGAAGAAATAAATATAGAGGGATACTAGGTTATATACGGTGATCAGACAAACAGCTGATATAGTTAAAAATATATGTCATAGTCAAGAGTTAATCTATCTTTGTGATTCTTTAAAATAAATTATTTATTTCTTTTTGCAAAATAAAGACAAAGATAAACTTAACTGAAACAAAAATGAAAATATTTTTTAATGAGGAAATGCATAGAAGAATAAAAAGCTGTTAGCGCAATCCCTTGCGGGATTAAAAATGTGAAACACGATGTACCTGCTGTTGCGAATCTTATAAAAATTGTTCTTTTTTATGCATATTGGTGTACATTTCTTCATCGTAGTTTACTTTACATTATAGAGCTGAAACAGGGTAATACCCCATATATGCTCCAATCATGTGTTAGTTATGCATTATCTGTGATACGTCCTTGAACTCTTTTTTCACAGTCTATGATGACCCCTGGAGCTTGTCTGTCACGGTCTGTGATGGGTTTGGAGGTTCTCTGTCACGGTCTGTGATGGTCTCTGAGGTTCTCTGTCACGGTCTGCGATGGGTTCGGAGGTTCTGTCACGGTCTGTGATGCGTCCGAAGGTTCTCTGTCACGGTCTATGATGGTCTCTGAGGTTCTCTGTCACGGTCTGTGACGGGTCCGAAGGTTCTCTGTCACGGTCTGTGATGGTCTCTGGGGGTTCTCTGTCACGGTCTGTGATGGTCTCTGGAGTTCTCTGTCACGGTCTGTGGTGGTCTCTGCGATTCTCTGCCACGGTCTGTGATGGGTCCCGAGGTTCTCTGTCACGGTCTGTGATGGTCTCTGGGGTTCTCTGTCACGGTCTGTGATCGGTTCGGAGGTTCTCTGTCACGGTCTGTGATGGGTCCACAGGTTCTCTGTCACGGTCTGTGATGGGTATTTGGTTTCTCTGTCACGGTCTGTGATGGGTATTTGGTTTCTCTGTCACGGTCTGTGATGGGTATTAGGGTTTCTCTGTCACGGTCTGTGATGGGTTCGGAGGTTCTCTGTCACGGTCTGTGACGGGTATAAATTTTCTCTGTCACGGTCTGTGGGGGGGGGGGGGGGGGGGGGGGGGGG